TCGAGGATGATATGGATTAATTATTTAAAAACATGATGGTAAACATATTGATATTTTTATATATAGTATTTTGACATGAAATGATTGTTTCAACTTATATTACAAGTTTGTTATTTGACATTTCAAATCGGGGAATTTTCTCTCGCGATAACCTAACCCCCCCAAATCTCGCCAGCATCGCTCCAAATTACCTGACGATTGGGCTTCTTCGGTGACGGCGGAGCTCTGGCCAGGGGTCGTCCTTGACCGCTCCGCCCTCCTGGACGACGCGCACCTCTGATGTTGCTGTGGAAGGGCTGCGAGCGTCGGTCCGATTCTAGGTTGCTGACGAGGTTCCGGTCGATGGTGGCATCCCTCACGGTCGGCGTTTGGCCGGAGATTGGAGCATTCTTTTCAGTCAATGGTGGACCTTCGATAGGTGACGGTAAGCCCCTTCAACTTCGCCTTGTCTGTGATATTTGGAATCTGCCTCTTCCGGCGGGGCTCCGCCTCTGTTTGATGGGGCCAGGGCCTTTGATCGTAGGAGCTCCGTGGTGGTGTTGGGCAGAGAGTGCGTCATTGGGAGGGCGGGACTCCGTTGGCTGCAGCTTTTCTGGTTGCGGCAGTCGGGGTTGAGGGACCGAACCACCCTCACCCTTCCCTAGTTCGGCTAGTGGTGTTAGGTGGCGGGGGACCCTGGGCTCGGCTAGTGGTGTTAGACGTGCCCGGGTGGGCGGGTGTGGGAGCTGGTCGATTCTCTTTCGGTTGGAGATGGGTTGATTCGGGGATTGGTTTGGGGCTCGAGTTCGGCTACTGTATAGGCATTGGTGCAATTTCGGTAGTGTTTTCTCTGGCTTGGAATATTTCCTGTGTCGATCGTTCATCGCTGGTTGGAACCGTTTCGTTTGCCGAGGAAGGGCTATTATGTTATTTTTTATTTGTTATTAGTGTTTTGTGATGTCTGTGTCTGTATTTGTGTTTTATGTCTGGGCCGTTGGTCCCTGTGTGCCCGGGTGTCACCTTATTACCCCGTTGGGGCCCGACACTCGGGGATTACCCTGTGGGGGCCTTTGTATTGTCTTTTGTGTTTTTAGTGCTCTTGTGTTTTAGCCTGTTGGGGTCATATCCCGTCTATGGGATTTCTAGGCCGCTCTATAGCGTGTCCTCTCAGTTTTTCTTTTTCGGCTTTTTCGGCTGTGGGTCGTGTTTGTATTAGAACTTTGTTCTCTCTTGAGGTTTGATATAATATCTCTTTCGTTCCGAAAAAAAAAAAAAAAAGACATTTCAAATCGGGCCCCCTGAGTGAAATTCCTAGATCCGTCACTAGTTTGATTAAACATTTTCAAACCTTTCAGTGCCTTATTTTCACATTGGGTTTTAGGCATTGAAAAAGATATGTAGAACCGCTTTTGTTTTCCCTCATTTAATTTAAATTTGAGGAAGCCGACAATTTTTTATGACTTCATGGGCTGACAATACAACATCTTCAGTTGACCTCTCGTATGTTTGTTGCGAGTAGATCGTCATGCATCTTTAAAGATTTTCGAACTTGATTTGAAGAATATAGATGAGATGTAGAGATGGTCCCACTGGCCGTGTTAAATTTGTAACAATACAACTATGAAAAACATAAAACGTTGTGTACAACTTGATTTTATTTCGATAAAATAATCTTGCGAGTACAATCTCTTTATGTCTACTCTCATTATGGTCTTCATGGACTTTGATTTGGATTTTCGAATGTTAGATTTTACGTTTGGATCTCATTCGGGCTTGAGCTTGATTAACGTTAATTTGAGGGTCGAATGATTTGCTCTCGAATTGAACTATATGACTTGATTTGATTGGAGGTCTTCATGATGGACTTTCTTATTCGTCTTCCTTTGAGATGAATTTAAGCTTGAATAACATTGGCTCGAGGGCTTAAAAGTTTTTCTCCGCATCAAACGCTATGTTACTTGAGCCCACCACGAACGCATGTTGAGTGTCTCCTAGAACACAGTTGATCTTCTTGGCTTTAACTTGAGAAGAGTTTATGGCGCGTCTATTTCTTAAAAGGAATTGCTGCCTTTATTTTATTTTTGACCTTCTTCTCTATTGAACGTACTTCAAAAGCTTGATTTTGAATTGAATCTTCAATAACATCTTTGGATTTTATATAGAGTTTTTGTGAGCTCTTGAATTTGAGACTTGAATTATGTGGTGTAGTTCTGGCTTTGGGAAAGCCAAATTAGTCATATATGATTTGATATAATATCTTTCATTAACCTAAAATTTTTTCTTATCCTAAAATTTGACTTGGTGGACAAAAATATTTTGCATACGAACAACTTCTATGAAAGTCGGGCCTCTGGTGGGCAACCTGAAATAGGCAGGTCACATGTGGACAACCTTGGGAGTAAAGCTTGGCCGTCTGGGGGTTGTTGTGAAGGTGGTCGGGTCGCACACGGACATCTTCTTTTATGATGTTGATCGCGTGATCGCAGGACCTAGGTCCCTTATATCATATGATTTGGTAATGACTGGTGGTCTACGGGGATCTCCAAGTTTTTTTATTATTGGTGTAAAGAGATCGTCAAATATTGTTTCGATTGGGGAGAAAGATATAGATCGACATAGTTCGAAACACTATTTATGATGACTGCGAGAGTGTGTTATTTTATGAGGCGGTCGAGAAAAACTTCTGAATGATCAGTCAAAGTTCTATTGTCTTCAAATGTCTTTTGAGGCCAATCGCTCGATCATCAAAAGGTGCTGATGCGGCCACCTTCATCCCTTCACGTCAGTTGATGATTATTTATAGAACTTCCTACTTATTACAGATATATTTAAAGAATATATAAATAATTTCTAAAAACAAATTTCAAATCTAATAAAATATATTCGATTATCTTAATCGAATCGAATAATAACTACAGAACATGTTGTACGGATGATTAATTGATTTTATTTAATTGTATTGATAATATTAAAGAGAGATTTTTAACTTAAATTGAGTTAGGTTTTGAATTAAAAAGTAAAAAAAAAATAACAATTAATTTTTGTAACTAATCCCGACGACTTTCCGGGNCTTGTTCACTTCATTTTTTCTTTTTTTTTTTTAAGTAAAAAAATCACGACTTTCCTTCAATTGAATTCGTTAAAGTTTTGAATTAGTTTGTTATTAATTAATTTCAAATCACTCTCCCCGCCCAATTCCCGAAAAAACACAGAGCCAATAAAGAAAAAAAACGAAAAGAAACAATGGAAGCTCAAATTTCCGAAAAAGAAGAAGATGGTGAAGAAGAAGTAACACGGACCGAACTAATTCCAATACATGAATTTCTGAAACACGTTGACGTTCCATCCCTAAGAGCCGTGAGAGACGCCTATCCCGAAGGACGGCTGATAACGAGTCGTCACCTTGCGACGCGGCTATCTATGGAAAACGAGATAGTCAGGCGCGATGAACTGAAGGAAGTCATCAAAGGCTTCTGCCCCCAGATGCGGACGTTTTCACTGCCTTTGCCATTCTGGAAGAAGATGAAGGGGACGAGCTCTCCGACGCGATCATGGCTATCGAACACGCGAGCGAATTGACGACGACCGATGTACTTCTGTGGACGAGGGAGGAGGCGTTGTCTCTACTCGATCAAATCCGAGTGAAACTTAACCCCGACGAAGTTCTCCAGAAAGTGTGGGATCAGAGTAAGTCTCGCTTTTAGGGTTTTACATTTGATTTTATATTGTTCTTTTTGGGTCAATTGTTGCTGCTGGTATGTAGTAGTCTGCGTGGATGGTGAAAATCTTGCCCTAATTGATAACTTTCTTGTACAGGAGATAATATTGTGATTGGTCCGTTTTGATTTATAACAGGGCAGGAAGGATCAGTAGGAAAAATGAAATCTTGAAATTGGTACACTGCAGTTAAAAAAGATTCTTCCCATTAGTTAGATATTCCAGAATGAGAAAACTGAAGTTATGTTTCTTGAAAAAATTATGCTGCTGGTTTTTGCCATATCCCATGAGTTATAGCATGAATTTTCTTGATTTGCAGGAATGACATCTCTCTTTTTTATTCCTTTTTTTTTTTTTTTGGCNTATTTTGATTTGGTTTTCTTTTGCGGCCTTTATCCTTTGCTCATTGGCACACTGAACATATGGATTCTTTTAGTTGCTGTGGAGAATGCACACTTGAGGGCGAGGCCGTTGAGAAATGAAGAGCCTGCCACTGGGAGGGACAATGCAGAAGTTGATGCCAAGAGCGATGAAGTTAGTGCAGGGAAGAAGGAAGCTGTGGGGAAAGATGCAGAGCAATAGGGATTCATTGATGCTGTTGATATTCTACTTAGGTAGCCATAGAGATTCTTTGATGCTATTGACGTTCTAAGGTTCACATAAGTTTGAGGTTTACTAGTTTTTCTGAGGTTTACTAATTTTTCTAAGGTTTACATGAGTTTGAGATTTACCACTTTTACTAGGCTGCTGCTAAAATCTTAAAGGTGACTGAATGTTTGTTGGTTTACAAGTTTTACTAGGCTGCTGCCGAAAACTTAAAAGTGACCACATGTTTGTTGTTTTTACATTTTGATTCCTCGTTTTCCATTCAAATATTGCTTTGGTGCGCTTTGTCTCGTGTATGTGTGAAACTTGATATCTTACAATTTGACAATCTGCCAAGTCTTATGTTGTGAGTGAAAATATCTATAATCGTGCACACTAAATTGTCTGCTGATTAAAGAAGAGGAAAAAACTCCGAGGTTGATTAGGCTAGGGTTATTAAAGAAATTCTGGGAGGTTACTGCAAAAACTCTGGTCTAGTTGTTAATTTTGAAAAATCTTCATGCTTCTTCAGCAAAAATACTCCTGTGGTTGTGAAACAAGCGATGTGTTACTTGTTGGATAATGTGAAAGAAGTTCAAAACTCTAGCTATTTGGGCTTGCCTCTGGTAATATGAAGAAGATACAAAAAGGAGGTGTTCAAATTTGTTAAAGAAAGAGTCAATCTGAAAATCAGTAACTGGAAAAATCATCTCTTCAATTCTGCTGGGAAAGAGATCCTCATTAAATCAGTTGTCAGTGCTATTCAAAACTATGTTGTGTCCTGTTTTGAACTCCCTAAGAGCTGTTGTACTTCTTTGAATTGAATGACAGCAAACTTTTGGTGGGGGGATGAAATGTTTGGAAATAGTAGATTGGTTTTGAACTGGTATGTTCAAAGTTTATGATCTTTTTGCTTGTTGGGTTTAAGGGTGAAAATGATTGGAAAGGATATTAGAATCAGAGAAACACCTTGAATTCCTACTAACCCTAGATTCAAATTGTTTGGGGCTACTGCAGGGATTCAATCTTGATTTGGGTCAGTCGGCTCATTGATACAGAAGGAAATAGATGGGACAGGGAACTTTTGTTCAGTAATTTCCATGTTGTTGATGTTGAAGCAATTTTGAACATTTCATTGCACAGATTGAATGAAAATGCTGAAACTTACATAGCATTTTGAATAAAGTAGATCTTATACAGTGAAATCTGCAAAAAATGCAATTACAAAGAGTCTTAACAATTGTTTGGCAACAGGCCAAAGGTTTTGGGCTACTGTTTTTTCACTGCTGCTACTGTTTTTTTTTTTTTCCTGTTTGGTTGAGCTGAAAGGAGGGCTAAAGTATTCTAGGTGATTGATTAATTCAAGTGGAATCCTTTAGTCTCTGTTTTGTTTTGCTGCAGTTGGATTTGGTTGAAAGCATTGTTTTTTATTGTTTTGCTTGTTTTTTGTTTTTTCTGTCAGGCTCTGTATATGTTTTGTGTAGAGTTTTTGTTTTGGGAAGTAAATTTCTCTTTTGGGATATTATTTGGATGATTCTCTGTTTCACACTCTGCTGAGTGAAGATATAGTACTGGAATTTCGACCCATCTAAGTAAAATGCTTAGTTTTGCATCGTTTGGGCTTTATAGAAAGATTTTGGTGGTTCAAAAATTTTCAGCACTCATTTTTGTTGGGCTAGAAACAGCTATTAAGCCTAAATACACAAGTCATTAATAATGGGTATTTTACATGAATACGAGAATTTCTTTTCTGTTTTGCCATTTTATAAGGGTATCTCTAAAAGGACAAAAATATCTTTCCTACTTTTCTTATTTTACGTGTTATGTTATTTTATGCAACTGTTACTTGTTTTTGTAGGTTTATTAATCTTTTTAATTGTTTCTCACATATCATCATCATGTAATAATAAAAATCTAAATTTGTAATTTCATGTAAATAAATATACCTTTTAATATCCATGTTTATATTTTGTATTTCCCGTTCTATATCAAAATATATTTTCTTGTACTCATTTTTATTTTCCTATTTTTGGCTCGTTATCTAGCTCTGATACCATTTTTATAAACCCATTTTTATATACTTTTTGATACATTTATATTATTGTTTTAGATGGTCCTATTTTATGAATCTTTTTATATTTTTGTCTATACCTTTGTACATCATTATTTGCTTGTTGTAATTTTTGTTCATCCCTTTCTATATATGTATATTGTACTAGTTTTTCTATTAGATAATCTACTTCCTTGATTTCTTTTCTTCTTATTTCATATAATTCAAGATTTTGGTCTTTCATTTATCCTAATAATGTTGCATTATTTAAATAATTTTCATATTTTATTTCATCTTGTCTATAAACTTCTAATCTTACTATTAACTCAAGATATTCCTTTTTATTTGTTGGTTTAAATATTTTATAACTCTTCCTATATTCATCGGGAATTTTCTTAATTTCATTATAGCTTTCTATCTTATTTTTAATAGTTAATTTTCTTTTTCTTAGTTCTTTTAGTTCTAGTCTTATTTCTTTCATTTTAATTTTTATTTTGTGTTTAAGTGGGATAATCTTGACTAAGATGAGATTCAGCCAATAATATTCCATTTTTAAGATACCTTACATTTGAAGGATGTAAAAGATATTCATTATTTTGAATCATTCTAATGCTATAAGCAATTCTTTCGATATCTGAAGCTATTAAATTTTTATCATACTGTCTTGTAACAGTGTAATATTTTTCTTTTAATTTTTCAAGAGTTGAATTTAAAACATATTCCCAAGAAATTGCGGGCATAATTATTTTATATCCTGATTTATTTAAATTCTTTTATTTAGGCTTATCACTAAATTGCTTAAGTCATTTACTTGTTTATTTAATGTTTTAATTTCATTTTCTTCTTCATGTATATTTTTAGTACTAAATGGTTTTTCTATCTCTTTTCTTTCGACTAAATCATTACTGTATGAATGTCTTCCTAATGTTAAAGGTGCCTTACTAGTTATTCTCATATTATGTTGTCTTAAAAAATCTTTTTGAATATTATCATTTTTTATAATTGTACTTGTTTCATTAAATATCTTTTCTGTATATATTCTTTCCTGATTTTGATAGTGCATACTCAAACTACTATTACTTAATGCGTATGAAATTCTATAACAGACAACCATTGGTATGTCTCCTGAGTCCATTAACGTTTTTTCCTGAAAATTACATATTATTCCTAAACAATTGTTTATTTTCTTAGTTGCTAATGGTATAGGAAATTGTAATGATACATTAAATTTAATTACTCCATATCCTAGGTCTCCTTCTATTTCTCCTAGTTTTCTTGATTCTTTATGCATAATTCTATTGTCTTCAACTATAATATTTATAGGTGTTTTTATTCCTTCTCTAAATGTTGATTTTAATATAATTTGAACCGTGTTTATATGTATATATCCTATTTTCTTTCTATCTTCTTCCTTAATTTTTTCTAATCTTTTTTCTATCTGACTTATTTCTACAAGGGGTGCTTGAAATCTATAATTGGCTTGTTCTATTTTTATGGGTTGTTCTCCATTCATAATTCCATATACTATTGTATTTCTTCTAAATAATTTGTTTAATAAGCTATTATTTATCCCTTCTCTTTTATCTATGTCTAAATTTCCTTTATTTTTTACCTTTGTTACTAGCTTCTTATCTAATAATATATCTGCTAAGTATGTTCCTTTTTCTTCTATATGTTCTATAGTTTGATACTCGTTTTCCATTTTTATTATCTCACTGCGAATGATTTTTCAAAAACTGTTTTCTAAATTGTAAATGAAAGCAAGAGTAAATATAGAATGATAATATACCGTTGATCTTCTCCTTATTTCCAACACAACTGGGACTTGATCCTTTTGGCATACAGCGCCTACGATCCTTCAACCAGCTATTCAGTGCTCCAGGAAATGCTTGAGAATATCTTCTGTATATTATTTCACTCTTTATTTTACTCTTACTTCTAAAATATTTAGCTGCTCATGAGTATTGAAACACACATATTTTTCATTAGAAATTTATTTTCGAATTGCCGTGCCTTACAAAGTGAATGGCCGGTCTTCTTTATAGGCAGAGCTCCTCATGCCATTATTCACACTTAATTTACATATGGTCTATAATGACCAACAGGTCACATCTTTAAGGGACGTGCACTACTCCTAATGCCAAACAGTTGGCAAAGTGAAAGGTGGAAAAGGACAACTGGTCCCCTCCATTTACACAGATAAAGAAAAAAAAGAAGAAAAATACAAATTACATTGTGCTGAATGACGTAATTGCTTGCGTCTATTCGTCCATTATTGTATCATCTTCTTCTTGTACTAGTTGCAGATCTTCTCCAACTGCTTCTGGGTTACATTCTTCACATACATGGTCTTCGCTAAACTCCTTTTGCAGTCTTTCACATATTTTTCTTTTTAATTCTTTGGGCACATCGAACTGAATACTAATCAACTCATCTAAATATTTATTTAGTGATTGGGTATCTGTCTCTGTTGGGTTTGTTGCTTGCATGCTCCATATCACAACTGACTTTGAAGTATAATTGATTCTTCCCTTTATCCGGATACCTTTGTTGAGAATCATAACATAGTTATTTAAAAACTGTGTTATTTCATCTTCATGGTGTGCTTGGCCAATATCTGGATAATTATTATTGCTGACTCCGATTTGACATAATTGTATTGCGGTTTGTATAACTTCTCCCCCCTCTGCAAAGACTGGTGTTGTGGCGAAAATTTTTAGAAATCCTTCTTTCTTTCTTAAAATCTTTGATGCATACTGACTCACGGCTCTTCGTATATTTGTGGGAAAATATTGAAAAATGTCTGTTCCCCGAAAATATATACAACTGACTAGTCCAGATTGAAACAACATGTATGCTTTTAACGGGTTTGCTTCAGGAAGTATAATTGCTTTTGGCCCCTGATAAATTCCTTCAATTGGATATATACTCGTTTGCTTGTCTGCCTCTGTATAATTAACTATAAACTTGAATTCTTGATTGAATCTTGCTTGAGTTAATTTTGTTAACTCTTCTCTTTGCTGTTTACTTTGTATATTGCCAATTGTTAATGGCCTTAGTGTAGGAATTGATCCTATCACTTGCATCTGTTTATGTGGTGCCGTAGCTGGCATTTTTGCTTTTCCTGCATATGTATTTTGAAATTTTTCTAGAGCCTGTTGTGCTTCAAACAGACTAGAAAATTTCTGATGTATAATGTTCTTGTTACCTA